TGAATACTTTTGTGGCACTTAAGCAAACTCATTTTTTTATTGTTCACAACCCTGAAACGCCATAAATTTTGGGGTTTTTTGAGCCAATTGCGCCCTACTTTTTGGCGTATAATTTGATGTTTGATTGACATAAAATGTATTGCGGGCCGAGTGATTTTCGCATAAGCGACTCTAATTCGTAAAGTGAAGGCATCCATGCCTTATATATCCTCCTATTCAAAAGTTCCAACTTTTGAATTTTTATGGCTCTATGTCTCCATTAACAATGAGTTATGATTTATTTCGGTGAAAAAGAAAACTTTAATCCTCGTTACTGTAAAGTTACTAAAGTGGCGTTTATGTGATTTTAATTTTCGACTATCATAAATAATAAGTTTTTTCAAATCTTTAAAAACTATTTTATGATACATCATCATTGTCAAAGAAGAATTCACAAATGAAACATTTTTATCGAATATCGCCATTTAATTCACTTACTCAATTTAATTATCCACATCACATTAACAACGACACGCTATTATTAGGAAATGCATTTACTAATTAACAATTGTTATGTGTTTTATTATGTCCATGGTGTCTGAAATGTCGTGATCTAAAACACTATAATTACGATAGGTATCTATTAAAAAATACAATAGGTGCTTCATTGCATTTTCATCAACATATTAATGCATCTGTATGTAGCCAAGGCGGGTTGCTACTAAAGTATATATTTCAGAAAAAAAACTAATATAATAACGTACATAATGTACACCCCTGCTCACGAGTATGATAAAGATGGACGATTATCTTCATGTTCGAAATCAGCAAAAGCTCTAACAAAAGCCATTTTCAGGTTAGTACTTACAGTCAAAGTACCGAGATAAGTGTTTTAATATTCTATCCAATCAAAACAGTAAGGGGCCTCCAACAAATTTAACAAAAGAGAAAAAACATGAGTTTAATGATTTACAAGATTATTTTGAAACTAAGTGTCTAAGAATAAAAATTAGAATTTATTTATTTGCATTTGAATAGGGTACACTGGGGATCTTACAATTTTGAATTTCGGCCCATTCAGCCATCTAAAATGGCATGCAAATATTTTACACTGAATTGACATAATTTTTCAATGTCAATAATAATAAAATTAAATTCATCAAATAAATAATAAGTCAGTGAAATTACAAAAAGTGTCAGCTTAATTTTATAAAACGTCATTCAAGATTAAATACATGGTTAAAAATTTAAAAGTCAAATTAATATTATTAAATATAGATTACAATGTCAATTAAAGAGCACCATTAGATAAAGAGAAGAACCCACTATAATTATATGTCATTAAAATGTTATTAGTTACAATCACTTAAATATTCTTTTACACTATAAAACATCTTATCGTGTAGCCATTTAAACAAAGCAGTCTTTAATTTTACAAAAGGCAATTGTTTTATGTAGGTACATATGTTGGTACCTTATTATAAATCTCAAGCTCAATCTGACTCTTGGAGATGGTAGATAAGGTAACTGTCTACATCTCTTATCTATTAGACAAGTCCGTCCGTCCGTCCGTGGTGCTGTTTCAGCGGCCAAACCGTAAGAGATAGATATAGAGAATGTTTAAGTTATAAGTTAAGAATAGTCTGATAAGACTACAAACCGGATGTTAGTAACGTAGCACTTCCGGTTTTCGAGAAATCACGTGATTTCTATTTCAAACGAAACCACACAAAATCTCCGAAGTTCTCAATTAATTAAATACTTTTTTTTTTGTGAACATTTGGTTCACAGGTTTGCTAGTTTTTCTATATTTTTTAAAGTTTAAAAATGAAAAGTTTTTAAACACAGTACCGTCCACGTTTTATATGAAATTTACTTTGAAATTAAATCCAATCTAACCTAGACCATACATGATGAGACGCCTCGGGCCTCTCCCGGAAAGGATAACGACAATTCGATGTCGTCTCACAAATATAAACCTAATTCATGTTTTTGTTTTGCATTTAACTGATATCTAGACGTTTAAATCTGAAGAAAAAAGAAATAGCAATTATGTTTATATAACTTCTATAAATGAATACGAGCATTTGTACTCCAGTTATGGATGATTAATATGTATTTCTATAAATAAGTATACATATATATTAATCAGCGTATGTTTTCTATCCTTTACCCCAGTATCCCGTAACACAAGCCTACAGTGCTAACTTTGGTGCTAGGTTAATTGGTGTGAGGAGCGTGTTTGGGAAATATTTATTTATATATTGTTTACTGCCAAAATATTTTCAGAAACGCAAGAGATTTCTGCCTAGAGACCAACATGCACGGCTTCAATCACATCGCTTTGCCCAGACGACACTCGTTGGAAAGGTAAGTCAGACAATTCCTGCCTCCCCCCTAACCCAACCACCAATTTTTTTTTAGTGTGTGTGTATGATGTTGGTCGCAGATGACCTTTACAGCGTCACCGGGTTTGGGGACGGGGAGATCCTAAGGGGACCTCAAGCCGAGAATTGGCGAGTGCCTCTTACAGGGGGAGTCTCCTCTCCGTCTGGAGTCTCTAGACCACTCGAACCGTAGGGGGTCACTTGTATACGAGGCGCAGGTCGTTCAATTTCTTTATTAAGAAACACGAATTATATATTATTTTGTCACCACAAATCGTAAGTGACTCGGGACTCCAAATTTTTAAATACGCCCCTGCCTTGTCCTCCCTGTTTTACTCAACGCAGAGACGTGTGGTCGGAGAGTAACCAAATATACATCAGATTTCTTAAAACTTATTGTTTTATTTATTTTAAGCTACTAGATTGATGGCGCTACCTTACGTGAGAGTGAGACAAAACAAAACATATTCAACGCCAACAACGTTCCGATTCACCTACGTGACACGGGTAACGGAAGGTGCTTGTTTCCTTTCCGTTCGCTGCCTTGACCACGTGTAATATTTTTAATTAAAATTTCCTTTATGATAAATAAGTATATTGCAGACTCCTCTGGGTGGCGGCGACCGTATCAGCGATATGGTGTGCCGCGCACTTGTGGATGGACCAATGGCAGCGTTACCAGGACAATCCCACTGTCATCACCCTGGAGAAGGACTACCGGTCGTGGTTGATAAACCTGCCTGGCGTTACTTTCTGTTATAATGTAAGTCCTGGTAGGGTTACCATATCCCACTGTCATCACCCTGAAGAAGGACTGCCAGTTGTGGCTGATCAACCTGCCTGGCGTCACTTTCTGTTATAATGTAAGTCCTGGTAGGGTTACCATATCCCACTGTCATCACCCTGGAGAAGGATCGCCAGTTGTGGCTGATCAACCTGCCAGGCCCCATTTTCTGTTATAATGTCAGTCCTGGTTAGGGTTACCTACCATATCTGACCAACGGCAGCTCTACCAGGACAGTCCCACTGTCATTACCCTGGAGTAGGACTACCGGACGTGGCCGAGCAACCTGCCTGGCGCCACTTTCTGTTATAATGTGAGTCCTGGTAGGGTTACCATATCCCACTGTCATCACTCTGGAGAAGGACTGCCGGTTGTGGTTGATCAACCTGCCAGGCCCCATTTACTGTTATAATGTGAGTCCCGGTTAGGGTTACCTGCCATATCTGACCAATGGCAGCGCTACCAGGACAATCCCACTGTCATCACCCTGGAGTAGGACTACCGGATGTGGCCGATCAACCTGCCTGGCGCCACTTTCTGTTTTAATGTGAGTCCTGGTGAGCGTTACTATTTTTCAATGGCAGCGCTACCAGGACAACCCCACTGTCATCCTGTCATCACCCTGGAGAAGGTCTACCGGTCGTGGCTGATTAACCTGCCTGGCGTCAGTTTCTGTAATGTGAGTCCTGGTTAGCGTTAGTATTTCTCAATGGCAGCACTACTCAGATATGGTAGGGCTACGTACTCATCATCATCATCATCATCATCAGCCTATTAATGTCCCCACTGCTGGGACACAGGCCTTCCCTGTGGATGGAATAGGGAGATCGGGCCATGACCCACCACGCGGGCCCAGTGCGGATTGGTGGGTGCTAACGACTGCAGATGCAGCCGGGACCAACGGCTTAAAGTACCTTCCGAAGCACGGAGGAGCTCGAGATAGTAAATTTTTGGTCACCCATCCAATGGCCGACCACTGCGAAAGTTGCTTAACTTCAACGATCGCAGCCGAACGCGCTAACGACCTGCGCCATCTAGTTCCTCACGGTACGTAGCGTGACCAATGGCAGCGATACCAGGACAATTTCACTGTCACCGTCCTGGAGAAGGACTACCGGTCGTGGTCGATCAACCTGGCTGGCGCCACTTTCTGTTATAATGTGAGTCCTGATTGACCATCCACAAAGACAACTTACACAGTTGAATCTGTCTGTAGAGAACAGTAAAAAGTTTTCCAGAGTTCGATGCAGTAGAAAAAAAAGGTTTTGGTCCAAGCGTTTTATTTTTCCTCACCAGCTATGTTCACATTCAGGTCTTTAAATATATTTGCAATCTTCTGTAGCATAATATTACTAGTTGCGATACCCAAAAATATCACTCGTCGAATCTTATGGCCAAAGTTGAGCGTGTCAGGACTTAGGGATCTCTTTGTTCTATTGCACCAGCACAAAGCGATGCAATTTATTTTATATGATTACATTAGTAAAGCTGAGTCAATTATAACCAGCATTGCCAGTTTTTTTTGCCGAAGCGGGATTTATTAACTTTTTGAGTGTAAAAAGCGGGATTCTTTCGTCGAAAGCGGGACATAGTAAAAAACGTATATAATGAAAAATTAATGAATATTTATCTTCATTACGCGCCGGGCAGGTGGCCAGTCCACACTTGTCTGTGCCACCCGCCCACGCTTTCTCAGTACACTGCATGCACGGTCGAGTTATTCCCGAAAAGCGGGATTGACCCTGTCCCGCGCGGGACATTCAATTTTGATTTAAAAATCTGGACATCCAGCCAAAATCGGAACGTTTGGCAACGCTGATTATAACCTTTTTGTTTGTATTCACATCCAGAATAGAGTGGATAAAGCCAAACTGGTCGACGCGATCTCCTCCCGCTGGGGAGTGAAGCCTGGAGACGAGAAGTACCCCTACTACGTGAAATTCGTTACTACTGTCGCCCACTCGAACTTATATCACTTGGACGGCTTCGAGGAATTTAAAGACGACTCCAGTCTGGAGGTTGATTTCTACAAGTTGGTTTTTGAGGTACGTAAGTGTTTTTATAATAGACATGATATAATTACCTATATTGAATGGGTGGTAGGGAAAAATATTGGATTATTCGAAAGATTCGAAATCGACCAATCATATCGCTCACTTTAAAGCGCACCCTCCACGCGTCCCTTAAAAAGTACGCTTTCTGATTGGCGGTCCATCACGCGACTATCCCGTGACATAATGCCCCGCCCCCCTCTGACGCCCGTAAAGTAGGGGTTGTATTGGTCGGCGTGTTTTTTTCTCGGGCCGGTGCACGGCTGTCGTCAACACCCGCCGTAGACTTACGAACCGATGGCGTAGCTTCTACACATCCATGAGTGCTAGTAATAACCTGAACAGAGTAAATATTTTTGAGTTTGTGTTTATTATATAATAATTTCTCAGGTGCAGCCCAAACTTAAGGTGAAGACGAGTTGGTCGGTGAAACTTGAACGAGTCAACTGGTTTCCAGTCATCACCGAAGCTGGAGCTTGCTACGCCACCAACACTCTAGTCCTACCAAACATTGCTTTCAAGTGAGACTATATCACATCATCCTTTTAATGTCCCTACAGCTGAAGGGCGTTCATTAGAACGAGGGAATATTACCGTCGTCATTAGACGGTAATATTCCCTCCGCCCCAGCTGGCTTTAAAATTATGCCTTTGGCAGCTTCAGCCATCTTCTATAAACTTCAGTTAGGTATTTATTTAAAACATCAGGGGCAGTAGGGTGATTTCCTTCGGTTTGTATTATAGTAATCATCATCAGCCTATTAATGTCCCCACTGCTGGGGCACAGGCCTTCCCTATGGACGGAATAGAGAGATTGAGTCAAGACCCGCCACGCGAGCCCAGTGCAGATGGGCAGCTTAACGTGCCTTTCGAAGCTCAGACGAGCTCGAGAAAATAAATTTTTGGTCACCCATCCAATTAAGTTGCTTAACTATCACAATCACAGGCCGAATGCGCTTACCACCTGCGCCATCGAGACTTATACTAGGGGGATTGCAATGGATTTGGCTTCCCGTATAAACTTCCATCTATCTGGCAGAATCTTGTTGTTTCGAAATTCATTTCACATATCAGAGACCAGGTATTTGGCATAATTTCCTAACGAATATTTTAACGACATTGTTTAAAAAAAACATTGCTTGGTAGAATGTTTAAATTATGTCCAAATTCACACATTTTTTTCTTTTTTTCAACATTCCTTTAAGATGGCCACGCAGATGGCAGAATTTTATTAGGCATAATATCCTTTGGCAAAATTGTATGCTGCATAACTTCGTTAAGCTTAACCAAAGCATAACAGCAGCACAGCGCCAATCAGCTGATAAATAAGCCAAAGACGATTCTGGCTTTGAATCCCTCCGATTCCGTCGGCCTAGGCACGTGTTAGAGTACCCCGACGACGAAATCGTCCGCGCCAACGCGCCTCCGACTCCCTACACAGCTAGCATAATTGCACACTATCTTAGCATTAGGCAGACACCGCACCCGTAGGATAAGAGTGCGAAGACCCGGTCTACATACGACACGCTATACCAGGTACAGGTAAGTACCTGGGCGTTTTTCCCCGCCCCCCATGACAACGGCTAGAGCCGAGGTCCGAGTCTCATAGACGCCCTCTAGTTGAGCCGACCCCCTCTGGTTCGAGTGGTCTAGAGGCTCCAGACGGAGAGGAGACGTGCCATCCGTCTGGAATACATCTAGAGGCACTCGCCAATTCTCGGCTTGAGGTCCCCTTAGGAACTCGCCGTTAGCAAAGGTCTGTAAAGGTCATCTGCCATCAACAGTATACACACTCAAAAAAAAAATGTTGGGTCGAGCCGGCGTCATCGGTTCCCGCAGAAACGGTCTACCCTAACCCTTCTAACCTCTTTGTTCTGTGGTTGATACTCCATTCTCGACCACCCACAGGATACCGACTGTAAACGAAACGAAAATATTTCCGATCACCTGCCTATACTCGTCTGGGAACTGCAACGTGTACTTCGAGGTTGAAGAAAAAGGAATTGTGAGTTATGTTTTTATTTTTTAAGCATTTAACTGCTAGATGTTTTAAATCTAATGAAAAGTTTACTAGAATAAAATCCACGCAGACCAGGCAGCAGACGGGACTCGAACCCGCACCCTTCGATATCCGAGCGAATGTACTGACCATTATGCTACCACGGCCCTGACGACCGTGTCAAATTTTCTCTAGCTTTAGGCTTTTTTAAACAACTCACAAGCAAGGCAGGGCCATCTCTTCGCATTGTAGGTGACCCACAATGTCAAATAAATACCTTTTCAAGTATTAAACATTTGAAAGAAGAAATAGCAATTATAATTGTTTTCAAGCATTTTACTGCTAGATTTTTTAATTTTTCTTCTTTCAAATGTTTAATATTTGTAAAGGCATTCGACATTGTGGATTACCTACATTGCGAAGAGATGGCGCTGCCTTGCAGCCTAAGGCTAGAGAAAATTCGACACGGCCGTCAGGGCCGCGGTAACATAATGGTCAATGCATTCGCCCGGATAACGAAGGGTGCGGCTTCGAGTCCCGTCTGCTGCCTGGTCCGCGTGGAATTTTTCTAGTAAACTTTTGTTTAGATTTAGAATTGTGAGTTGTTTAAAAAACCGGCCAAGTGCGATTTGGGTCCGTGTACGGGGGGTTCCGTACCATAAACGGTAAAAAATCACGTCTGTTGTATAGGAGCCCCCCTTAAATACTAATTTTTAATGTAATTTAATTATTAATTTTTAAGTGATTAACTCAATATTCTGTGAATATTTCAAGCGGCTACCTGCTGCCGTTATTACTGTAGAACAAAAAATGGCAAAAAATCACGTTTGTTGAATGGTAGCTACGCCCCTTAAAAATTAAATTTATTCTGTTTTTAATATAGAAGCGGCAACAGGAATACATCATTTGTAAAAATTTCAACTGTCTAGCTATCATGGTTCATGAGATTGAGCCTGGTGACAGACGAACAGTAGTCTTAGTAATAGCACAGTGTAGAAACTTACAGTGTTACAACACCTTTGAAGTCTCGCGAAATGCCGCTCTAGTGTAGAAATTTGTCATTGTAGCAAGGTTGTCACATTTTTTGATATGTATCATCTTTCCTCTCGCTTTCCTGCAATTTATGGGAGTGATTTCGTGAAATGGGACGGAAGTGTGTAACAGGATGTCGCGGAATTGTACGCTATTTGATTTGATTTTAAAACATAATGTTCAAATAGCTTATTCCCTTTGTAGTTCACATAAATTCCAGCGAAACGCCACAGAAAAAAGACGAAGATTTTTTTTCAATTTTTTTCCAAATCAGATTAAGCCGGTCTCTCATTACTACGAGGTCACAGATTAAATAATCTGTCCAAAGAGACTCTATGAGCAAGGCAAAGGTCCTTTTTTGGCGAAAATTAAAAACAAGACAAGCGGTGATATTGGCACGTATATTAAGCTAGCAGACCATGGTCGCAACGCGCACATCTAACCTACTGGGTATTTAGTTGCTAATTAGTTGCTAATTAGTTACACTATTCCCGATTTAGTTGCTCAACACCTGTAAAAGATACATGCGATCTGCTAGTTTAAGTCTTAACCTAGCAGACCACAATACTATATCTTCGGTTCTCGTAAAGATATCGAAGTTCTGCAAACGGCATATTTAGTTGCTAATTAGTTGCTGTAGGACAGCATTATTTGTTTTATCCCCCCATCATCCCTTAATTGCCGCACCAGCACCCACACTACCCCCGAAATACGATAAAATTAAAAAGAGCTCATCAGAGAATATAAACTACGGCGTATTTCATTGCTAATTAGCTGCTGCAAAATAGCGTTGCTTATAATATTTGATTATCAACCCTTAACTCCAGATCATCCCTGCAACCACCCCAGAATAGAACGATATCGGAAAATTCTCGTAGGTGGAAAATAGACGCGGCATATTTAGTTGCTAATTAGTTGTTCGCCAAAAACGCAGTTAAGAGTATTCTACAATCATCCCCTAACCTCAGATCCAACCCCTCTACTCACTTAAAAATAGTAGATGGTTCGAATTCGCACGCAGATGTTTGAAACTGCTGGATATTTTGTTGCTAATTAGTTGCTCGCCAAAAACACAATTAAGAGTATTCTATAATCATTCCCTAACCTCAGATCCATCCCCTTTACTCACTTAAAAATAGTAGATGGTTCGAATTCAAACGCAGACGTTTAAAACTGCTGGATATTTTGTTGCTAATTAGTTGCTGCAAAAAAGCGTTGCTTATTGTATTTAACTATCAACCCTTAACTCCAGATCATCCCTGCAACCACCCCAGAATAGGACGATATCGGAAAATTCTCGTAGGTGGAAAAAAGACGCGGCATATTTAGTTGCTAATTAGTTGCTCGCCAAAACCGCAATTAAGAGTATTCTACAAACATCCCCTGACCTCAGATGCAACCCCTCTACTCACTTAGAAACAGTAGATGGTTAAAATTCGCACGCAGATGTTTAAGACTGCTGGATGTTTTGTTGTTAATTAGTTGCTGAAAAATAGCGTTGCTTATAATATTTCATTATCAACCCTTAACTCCAGATCATCCCTGCAACCACCCCAGAATAGGACGATATCGGAAAATTCTCGTAGGTGGAAAATAGACGCGGCATATTTAGTTGCTGATTAGTTGCTCGCCAAAACCGCAATTAAGAGTATTCTACAAACATCCCCTAACCTCAGATGCAACCCCTCTACTCACTTAGAAACAGTAGATGGTTAAAATTCGCACGCAGATGTTTAAGACTGCTGGATGTTCTGTTGCTAATTAGTTGCTCGCCAAAAACGCAGATAAGAGTATCCTAGTGGGGTATAGATGTGGTTGTAGCTGCAGAACCATACTCGGTACCACCCAACAACAAATGGGCAGGAGACATGGAAGGTTCGGTCGCGATAATGGCAACATTACAGGATGCGTACTCCCCCCCTCTCTGTGTTGTAGAAAGGGGATCAGGATATGTGGCGGTGACTGTGGGAGAACTGGCCATAATTGGGGTCTATTTCTCTCCTAATAGGGGTGTGGCTCAACTGCAGGCGTGGCTGGATGTGCTGGGAGGTGCAGTCAGGCGTATGGCTCCACGTCAGGTGGTGGTGCTTGGGGACTTCAACGCGAAGCACCCAGCGTGGGGGTCCCCACGCACGACACCAAGAGGAGACTCAGTCTGGGAATGGTCAGTCACATCGGATCTGATACTGCAGAACAGGGGCACACACCACACATGCGTTAGGATGAACGGAGGTTCAATTGTAGACCTAACGTTTGCTTCTCCTACGGTAGCTGCCCGTATCCAAGGATGGAGGGTGTTGCCAGAAACGGAGACCCTATCGGATCATCTTTATATCCGCTTTAGGGTCTCACCACCTCCAGATCTGGAATTTCGACAGGATAGTGGGGAGCACTTTCGACGCTGGGCGGTCGCTAGGTTTGACATGGAAGCGGCAGAAGAAACGGCACTTACTGAGGCGTGGATTCTTCAAGGCAGGCCAATAGACGATATTGGCACAAGAACAGAACGCCTCATGAGAGCCTTGAGGAAGGTATGTGACGCTTCCATGCCAAGAGTCACAGCTAGACCACACAAACAGGGAGTGTATTGGTGGTCTCAAGAGATAGCGGTGCTACGAAGAGCCAGCATGAGAGCCAGAAGGGAGCTACTGAGATACTGCCGTAGGAGAGTGAGAGTACAGGAGGAAGAGGAGCGTCTCAAAGTGGCCTATAGGGAGGTAAAGGGTAGACTGAAAGAGGAGATTTGCAAAGCGAAAGAGTCGGCGTGGAAGGAATTCATAGAGGAATTGGATGCGAATCCATGGGGGCGTCCCTACAAAATGATACGCAACAAAATGCGACATGAGGCGCCCCCAATCAACACGATGGATCCGATACTCCTGGAGCGAGTTGTTGCCCAGCTGTTCCCGGAGGAGCCGCCAACGGTGCCTCCGTTAATAGCGCCAGAAGTTCACGCAAACGTGAATGGGGAAGGGGATATTCCACTGATTACGGAAGACGAGCTCGAGGATGCCCTTGAGAGACCGAGGCGAAAAAAGAAGGCTCCCGGACCAGACGGGATCCCCGGGCGAGCACTAGTAACTGCTCTTAAGCACCTAGGGGAAGAGTACAGGGAGCTCCTGAACAAGTGCCTGTCAGAAGGGGAATTTCCCACGGTGTGGAAAAAAGGTCGTCTCTGTCTTCTTAGGAAGGAGGGCAGGCCAATTGATTCTCCGTCGGCTTATCGACCTGTCGTGCTGCTGGACGAGGCGGGTAAGACATTCGAAAGAATACTCGCTGACCGCATCGTTCAGCACCTGGAAACGGTGGGCCCTAACCTGGCGGAGAACCAATATGGCTTTCGGAGGGGCAGATCGACAGTAGACGCCGTCTTGGCACTGAGAAGGCTAACGGAGGCAGCAGTAGAGAGGGGAGAACAGGTTGTGGCTATATCCTTAGATATAGCCAATGCATTCAACTCACTACCGTTCAGCTGCATCAAGGATGCACTTCGCTATCATGGGCTGCCGCGGTACCTACAGAGGGTTGTCGAGCGGTACCTGGAAGGGAGAAAGGTGGTCTACGTAAATAGGAGCGGGGAATTAATTGAAAGAGAAATGGTATGCGGGGTTCCACAGGGGTCCGTCCTCGGGCCGCTCCTGTGGAACCTCGGGTACGATTGGGTACTCAGGGGGGTTCTCCTTTCTAGATTAAATGTCGTGTGCTACGCGGATGACACACTGATCACAGCTAGGGGGAAAACACTGCAAGAGGCAAGGCGTCTGGCTAGAGTTGGTGCACACCTGGTAATAGGGAGAATCAGGCACGTTGGACTAAGGGTTGCAGTCAGTAAAACGGAGGTAATCCTCTTCCATGGGCGGGGGGACAAACCACCAGGTGGGACATTTGTTGTGGTCGACGAATTGAGGGTCCCGATGAAGCAACAAATGAAGTACCTAGGGTTGGTACTGGATGGTAGATGGTCCTTCAAGGAG